CTTGTCGAGCGCCAGAAGATTTTACTCGTCAGTGGTATAGGGTACTGCCAGTAAATGGGTTAACAAACCTATCTGCCAATGGCTCTTGTTAATTCATCCGCACAGTTATGACCCCTACTTTAGTATTTACCCTGTCCAACGCCAGACGATTTTTAATACTCAGTCAGTGGTAGGGTACTGTCAATAAATGGGTTAACAAGAATAACAATAATAGGATGTTTCTGAAGGACTCGTTCAACACCCTGTAGTTTGTCTTTTGCTGTCAAAGGCAGAATTACTGCCCTGTGGGTAACCTAGTTGCTGCCGCAGCGAGCGAGCCTGAAGCGAGCGAGCAAGGCAGCAGATCCTAATTTTGTTTTGTGGGTCGAAATCAAAATTTTCTATTTGGCGCATTGCATGACGGTACCAGTGAATTTTAACCGTGGTGCAGCGCGGTCAGGTATAAGGCAAACAGGCAATGTGATCATGTTTCATCTTTGGTCTTCTTTTATGGAAAGCCATAGCTGGCTTAAAGTGATCAAACAGCATTTCGTTGGGTGCTTTTAGCATTATACGGCGGTGCTTTTGGCATTATACACGGTGCTTTCGCCATTATACGCGGTGGTTCCAGTATTATACGCGGTGCTTTCACCATTTATATACGCGATGCTTTTGCAATTATACGCAGTGGTTCGAGCACTATATGCGTGTGCTTTTAATATTATACGCGATGCTAGCTTTCATTCAACATTATTTCCATATTCTTTCCATGACATGTATATGATTTAACGATTGCTTAAATTTGGTATGTGCATGGTTGACAAATGCTTTTTGCCTATGGTCTGCAAGGACAATGACATGCTTTTCTGTGTATATACATGTAAATGAATATAACGCAGCGAATGCGCCAAACAGTATAAACGCGGCTGAAATATGATATTAAAATCTTAAATGTGCCGTATGATTTAATTATGTTTTACGATTTACAAATGCTTTGTCATTTGTATTTATACTTGTACTGCATCACAAGGCAGTACGTACTGTAAGTGAAAAAACTGCACATGTGAGATTGTCTTGTATATATTTTTGCTTTCTTTGAGAAACACTATTAAACACGCAAATTTTAATTAGTGAGACGCAATGTTAAATGTCACCTGCATGTCATTGTCATTGCCCTTTAACCCCTGGTCTAATTGGCCGCTTTTGAAAATATTGATCATGACGAACCGCACTGCCTTAATTAAATCATAGATTAAATGCAAACTTTGTGTTTTGAAAACGGGTTAGGATAAAACGCGGATACGGACGGACGGATGAATGACGGACGGACCGGACGGATGACATATATATGTCATTATATAGTCTGCGCGCAGCCGCGCAGGGTAGTTAGTGCCTTACGTTTTCGCTGGTTGTTATACTTTAAAATAATTTTGTATGTACCGAGAAATCAATATTCCGAGTATATAAATATATAAACTGGGATGTCACACTGATAGCTTGTTTACATTTCCTGGAGCATCATGAAATCTTATGTTTAACCACGGTGGTTTAACCCATTAGCTGGCAATGCGCCCTTCCCTTGTCGAGCGCCGGAAGATTTTACTCGTCAGTGGTATAGGGTACTGCCAGTAAATGGGTTAACAAACCTATCTGCCAATGGCTCTTGTTAATTCATCAGTACAGTAATGACCCCTACTTTAGTATTTACCCTGTCCAACGCCAGACGATTTTTAATACTCAGTCAGTGGTAGGGTACTGTCAATAAATGGGTTAACAAGGATAACAATAATTATTATATACACAAGGTCTGGATATGAGGTATTCTGCAATCTGATTGGTTCTCTACTAGCAGGATATTAGCTCATATCCTACTAGTAGAGAAAAACAAAATGGCGGCTCAAACTGAATTTCCGATTTTTGCGAACGAGAAAACGGCAAGTTGTTCGCTTTTTGTAGCCTCTACAGGATTAAAAACACAATGAAAAAATTCCCAAAAATTGTTTACAGGTTAGCAAATGAATTTTTAAAATTTAAAATGGTTAAAAATATATATATTTGAAGAAATAATCGGCCGAAAGAGCGAAGTCTGTGAATTCAGACCTTGTGTATATAATAAAACAGTTATTCCACTCACTCTCGTCGAATATGAGCGATAGCCGATTCGGCGCTACGCGCCTCATCGGCTATCAGCTCATATTCGACTCGAGTTCGTAGAATAACTGTTAATTAGCCTGCATGGCAGGCGGTATTTCCCAGGCTTGCCCAATTTTAGGAACCGCCTGCCATGCAGGCTAAACAATAATAGGATGTTTCTGAAGGACTCGTTCAACACCCTAGGGTGACCCTGTAGTTTGTCTTTTGCTGTCAAAGGCAGCATTACTGCCCTGTGGGTAACCTAGTTTATAAAATATTCAAGATCTGGGCTCTATATATTATACAGTACATACAACTGGCTCCTGATTACATACCTTTCCCATTAGGTGTTAACATTGATACAAAGAGATCAGCATTGGCTGCAGCTTGCTATGATGATCAATATGAATGTGCAAAGTTACTTATTGAAAATAATGTATCACTTCATTCACTTGATACACGCCCACCTATCTACTTCGCTGCACGCCACTCTGGTGTGTTGTGTCTTGGTTTATTGATTGAAAGTGGTGTAGATGTGAACAGTGTTTGCATGGGTTTTAATACACCGTTATATGAGGCAGTTTCTGCGCAGAACCTACCTGGATGCAAGATGTTGCTTTCAAGAGGTAATGTAGTTGAAACTTTTGCACTTTTTTTGTTGTGTAGAAAATTCCAGGTTAACTTTTTCGCGAAACGTTCGATTCGTACGATCGTAAGCCCAAATTTTCATCAGTGAATGAATGAAGATCTGGGTATACAAATCTGTATTCTAAAAGCTCACTCACACTTACACTCAAAGAGTGGAGGTTCAATCTGAGCGTCCTATGACTGCATGTCAGTGTTGTTTTTGAATAGCTGGAGGGTGAGTAGTCACATGGTAAGGTACGACACTAACCCTCCAGCTATTCAAAAACAGCACAGACACTCAAGAGAAGCTCAGATTGAACCTCCACTCTTTGAGTGTGAGTGAGCTTTTAGAATACAGGCGTAAGTCTTTGCCACCAAAAGATGATTACGTACTGCAATGCAAACAGATTAAAACTGAAGAATGTGCTGATAAACCTGTGACTTGTGTGCATTTTATTTTACGAATAGGACGGTAAAGTTAAGATTAAGTCTAAGGAGTACATGCTGGTGTGTGCGAGTTAGAGTTGTGTATTTATTACTGATGCAGCCTGAATAAATATGGATTTCCTAAAGTTGATTTTCACTAATTGTAGGATCCATATCGGTCGGTTCCATAGTTTCATAGGTTTTCAAGCATTTTTATAACAGTCGAAAAAAGAACTATCCGGTGGACAGCGCTATCTGGGCCATCCGGCCTTCGTTATGGGCGGTGAAACGCGCTCAAGGTCTGCGAACAGTCTATAACATGTAAATTGGAGTTCATTTCAGGGCATGCCCAGCACCTAACCTGCGAACGGGAATACTCTGGGTACGAGATTGGGACAAGGAATGGAATTTTGCACACTGCCGTTTTTTCTTTAAATAAGAAATTTTTATCCGCTTTTTACACGGTATCGACAAGGTGGTAACTGGTGTATGCATGGTATGAATGCTTGTTTGGCCCATAAATTTGAACTTTAAAAGAAATATAGATAATGAGTCGTTCTTTTCATGACTAGCTGGTTAAGAGATGGCAGAAGAGACTGTCAACAACATGCAGAAACAGAACATGCCAAAGAGGTCCACTGTGTTAAAAAGCATAAAACAGGACAACAACTGTCAATTGAATCTTGCATTTGCAAATGCAGTGCATGACCCTTCAGACAAGTTCTACGGTGATGATGAGGATGACAATTTCCATATACAGTAGCTAGAACACAACTTTTAGGTTCAATATATTGGGCATTACTGTTCAATGCATGTATGTATACTGTATATATCCATTACTCTTTTGATATT